CACTCTCATAGTCTCCTTCCGAAGGTGAGGCTGAATGCTGTCTTGCTCCTTTTGTTGACATTGTTCTGATTTTCACAAAGGATATTGAACCATAGCTCTTGGGTCATGTGAGTTTCTATAATTGTCTGAAATGACAAGAAAGACAAGGTGTGGAGTTGTTTCAATTGGCCACTGGAAAAAGTAGACATGAAACTGAGGGTCTCAGGTATAGAATTCTTTTCCTAAGCGTTTTTGGCATGGACTGAATAAGTTGTTCCTCTTGGTTGGTCTATTAACTCCACTTCTATTTGGGTCTATTTTATCCCTGCCCCCCAGCCAGAAAGTATTGCACCTCCTAGTTTTCTAAAACAATGACACTAACCAAAATTTACTGGGGGAGAAACCATTTATCATTAGTCAGCTAAACAATGAAATACTCAAATTGGATTCGATAGCTAAGGAAGTAAAGTTTCTTATCTGGCTAGGAGGAAGTTTGACCCATGTGCCTTTTGCAAGTCAGCCCATTACTATCTATTTTTTCCTGCTTCCTGCTGTCAACACAAAAACCACAGCTTTCTTCTTAAAGGGAATAAAAGATAGCTTATGCTGGAGTCATTGTGAGTGACCAGGGCTTTGAAACACAGATTTGGGTTACCCCAATTTCCATGTCCCAATGTGGAAGAAGTTTTATGAAGTTTTTATAGTTTGACAGAAATAAGGCAAATTTAAAATGCATTGGTGGGTACATGAGAGAGGCAGGTACATCATGAGGGAAGCCTTTCTTGTAAGCCTAAGATGCTATCTGAGGACATACTTGGCTTGTGGATTGGTAGTCCTGGTTGCCTAATATGTCAATAGATTCTAAAATATTTGATCTGTTGTCACAAGACGTTGGTTTTGACTCAGAGGATGGCATGGAATGGCTAGTTCAGAGAGCCAGAACTAAGACCAACATAAGCCTGTGGACCTGCAATGTTCCAACCTCTCCACAGTACTGAAATTCTCATCAGACAATGGATCTCTGCAGGCAGATTTCTTCAACAGTTCCAATGCACAGCCAACACAGTATCTTCTCAGAGTCCCCTTTCCACTGTCACACAGCCAGAGACAGACTCCAGAAGACCTGTGACAGCTCAAAGGACAAATAACCTGCACGTTTCCTGGGATAGATTAGATAGTTCCCATAAAGCACACTTTGCAAACCTTTACAAAAGGAACTGGACGTTACAGAAGGAAAACAATTTTGTATCGTGGGCCATGGCTTTGACATTAGGAAGTGTCAAAACTCTGGTACTTTCCGCTGACCCTGACAGAAAGAGAAGAGACCCTGAAGCAAAATCATTTGAGTACAGAGTTCAAAACAAAATGGCTTCTCTGCTGAGACAGGGCCCCTCTAGGGAGGATACAGCTACAGATTGGCCCCTCAGCTCAGAAAGTTGGCTTCTCTCTCCCTTTGAAACAGAAGGGAAATCTTTATCAGATACCTACCAAATCAAGTTCTTAAGTTTCCCATAACGATCATAATATGGAAAACAGTAAACTTTCTAAATTAAGAGAAATCTGGGTACTTATATGGAACAGAACATCCACCTCGTTCCTTTTCAAGTTAGAGTGTTGATTCCCTCAGGACTCAGAGCATGACCCTGAATCCAGAACCACTTTCAGTGGCTTTAAACAGCCTGCATTTTAACAAATCTGCTCTTGAGGAAAACTAATACAGCATCCCACTTGCCATCACAGAAGTATGTGCATTACAGCATCATGATTACTATGATATTATTTACCTAGATGTTACGATTACCCAGTCGGTAACTGAAGAATGCAAGGCTTTCCCACGTCTTCCTTCAGAGCACTGACAGACACAAGTGTGCATGTACTTAGTGTCCTGAAAGGACAGGTGGAGGTAGATTCTTATAATGGAATTTCACCCACAGGCCCAGAGATTTTAATGGATTCCCTCTTTGGCTTACTGGCTGGCCCTATCTCCATTAATTTTGTTATTCCTAGTTTATTCTAAGGTCCATCTGTCCTCTTAGCATATCCCCAAAATTCTTCCACATTCTTACCTCTTGTAGATTTTTCCTTCCTTTCCAGGAATACTGTTATTTCAGTATAGAAGCAATAAAATAGGATAAAGACTGACAGGAAGAGAAAGCAGAAAGGAAATTGCATTGTACACAGACATGCATGCTGAATGCAATTGTGTCAGGATCCTAAAAGAGCAAAATCAGAGAATCAAAGAGAATGGATGTCAGTGGCACTAGGAATAGAGGAAACAGAACTATTGCTAATAAATAAAAGTTTCCATTAAACAAGGGGAATGGGTTCTAGAACATTTCTGGATAGCACAGTAGTTAAGACTAGCATGCTGTTTCAAACACTTAGACACTTTGTTAAGAAAGGAGGATTCATCCTAAGTGCTCTCAGCACATGAAATGGAAGAAAAAGGCCCCATGGCCAGCATCTTCTCAGTCCCTCTTCTCATCCTTTCTACCTCCAGGCTGTTCTTGCTGGCATTCTCTTAGAGTGGATTCATTTTCCTTCCACTTCTCTGGCAGCCTCCTGCGGAATTCCAGCACCATTTGTGATGCTGTTGTAGTCTTAAAGATCCCACGGGTGTCTCTGCCTCTCCCAGTATTTTCCAGCTTGCCCTAATGGATGCTGAAACAAGACTTTCAGCTCAGGAAATGCTCCTGGGGCTGGATGTCTGCATCTGATTGCCTGGAGGATGTGCCAGACTTGTCATCTTATTTTTCAACTTTTGTTGAACTGAAAATGTCTTCCTGTAGACAGATGCTGTTCGTTCATTTCCCTGCTGTCCAGACCCAAATAATCACACAGAAACTGTATTAATTATAACACTTGGCCTATTAGCTCAGGCTTCTTCTTAACTCTTAGATCTAAAATTAATCCATTTCTATTAATCTGTTTATTGGCTTGAGGCTGTAACTTACTAATAATGGTCCAGCATCAGTCTCCTTCAACAGCTACATGGTGTCTCTTTGACTCTGCCCTCTCTCTCTCTCTCTCTCTCTCTCTCTCTCTCTCTCTCTGTTCTGATTTCCCACCTGGCTTTACTCTGCTAAGTCATTGGCCAAAACAATTTCTTTGTTAACCAATGGTAATAAAACATATTCACAGCATACAGAGGGGAATCTCACATCATCTCCCCAAATAGAGCATGCTAGTATTCTCTTAGTTTCCTAGACCAGAAGCCCAGAGTGAGTTCACAGTGCCTCCTAACCCCCTCCTCTCCTAAATTCCATCTACCCCAGCTATCCCAGATGTTCTCTGTTTTCTTTATCCTCTCCTAGTTTCACATTATTAATTATCTCTTCCATTATCAAGAGACCTTAAAGCCTCTCCTCCCTGATATCATCACATAGAAATTCATCTTTTATCTTACTCTATATTGTTAAAACCCAAATTGAACAGTAATGATTCCCTGCTCCAAATCCTCCTGTGGCCTCCTATTATTTCAGGATAAAGTTCAGGCTTCATAAGCTGGAGGAAAGTAGCCCTAAAAGGCAAGAAGTAGTCAGTGTGAAATAATTTCTCCTTTGGACAAAGATTTTCCAGCTCAGCCCTCATTTGCTATCTAATACTGTGTTCTGCTGCTACACTCCCCAACTCTTCTCCCCAGCCCTACTTAGTACCACATGCTTGCTTCTTTTTTTAAAAATATTTATTTATTATGTATACAATATTCTGTGTGTATGCCTGCTGGCCAGAAGAGGGCACCAGACCTCATTACAGATGGTTGTGAGCCACCATGTGGTTGCTGGGAGTTGAACTCATGACCTTTGGAAGAGCAGGCAATGCTCTTTACCACTGAGCCATCTCTCCAGCCCCACATGCTTGCTTCTGCATACACACTGCATATAAAACTCTTCTGTATGAATTGTTGCTTACTGTTCCCTTTATATAGGACTCCTTTCCGCTTATGTTTCGGTTCACTTAGATCAAATCAACCTACGAGACACAGCTCAGAGAAAGCATTCACCATGTCCTTTACCTCACACCCCCTCCCACGCTCACAGCACTCATACATCTGTCTCCCCATTCCCTGCAACCTGCATTTCTCCTCTGTTGTTCTTCTGTTTAGCACATAATCAGAACACAATGAGTTTTGATGACCAGCTAAAGGGATAAATAAATGAATGGAATGGATAGGGGATTTGGATCCGGGAGTTCCTGCACATCCCAACATCTGTAGACAAGATACTCAGCTTCCTCATATCACATGGGGTAACACTTTGTATAACCAATGTACCCACATCTTCTCCAATATGTTGCATCATCTCTAGATCAACTTTAATAGCTAATGTAAGGTAAACGCTGTGTAAATAGTTCTTGCACACTGTAACTGAAGGAATCACTATGAGAGGTCTGCGTATGTTTGTTTTGATTCCCAGCTTGCTGATTGTGTGGACATAGAAGCTATGGACACAGAGAGATGACTTCATAACAGATAGCTAGTGTGGTATGATATGGTGTCAGACTTTTGATGTGAGGCATAAATCTCCTGGCTAATAAGAAGGATTTAGCCTGTCTATACCGAAGCTCTTTATAAATAAAACTAAGAAGTCAAACTTAAGACATGGCAAAGCCCACACTTAACTCTAACCATCTTTTATCTCCATACTTCTATCAGTCCTCAGAAGAGCAAAATCATCTATGGAGTTAGCTGTATATTGCAGAATGGTTCATATGCCTTCAATGCAGCCTGACGCCATCTAGAATTCCCATTCCCTGAATTAATACCTAAGTTATAGAAGCTTGAATGTCAAAGCTTTTGTCCACCGAGATGTATGAAGAGAAAGAAGAAACTTGAACTTTGACGTTCTGTCTGATGTTCGAATTAAATGTTCCTATTATTAAACGAATTTTACGTTAAAGATGGGCATGTGGCATTCAGTCTATCAGAAACTGCTATAGTTCCTAAGATGAGAGAACAAGGGTGAGTTTATAAGGATGCAATTTAGGCCCCTCTCTCACTGTGCTTTTCCCCTTCCTTGCAGATGGAAGTCCTTACACGTGGTGGGTTGGCAAAGCCAATGAGAAGCACTACTACTGGGGAGGCTCAGAGCCTGGGATTCAGAAGTGTGCCTGCGGCATCGAGCGCAACTGCACAGACCCCAAGTACTACTGCAACTGTGATGCGGACTACAAGCAGTGGTGAGTGCCCCGGAGTGCAGCCTCCCTGAGTCTGCGAGTCAGGAGGGCTAATAAAAGGGAAGTCTGGGAAGGTGTTAACGTGAGAAGATAATCAGAGAGAAATGTGGGGAGCTAACTCAGTGGACAACTGTCAGGAGTACCCTGGCAATACAAAAGCAGAGTGAGGTCAGCGCGACAAGGGTGCACATTGGGAAGCTGGCTGACACATAATTGACGTGTTCATACTCCATTCCGAGAGGGAAATAATGAGTCATGTTGGCAGCGCTGATTTACATTATAGCATGTGCCCTGCAAGGATGGAGGGCAGAATGCAAGGTGCAGATACCTGAGGAAAAAAAAGAGAGGAGGCAAATGTCTGCATAAGGCTTTCAGCTCCCAGGATGTTTGCTTTAGCACATAGACCAGAAACAAAATGAGGAAGGAAAAGGAAAGAAAGGGAAAGGATTCTTTGTTCTCCTTGTCCACAAGTGCCTGTCTGTCTCCTTTGCCATCATACGCCGAATTGTTTACAACCGTGATACAAATCAGTCCAAGAAAGATCTATGTGGGATTGTTTTCATCCCTCCACTGGCTTTTGTCTGCTTTACAGTGAGTGACTATGGCGGTATCCATCACAGATAAAGATAGAATTAGTGTACTTCTCTGGAAAAAGAAGAGAGGGCCAGGCTTATCTGGAAGAATATAAACCAGAAGAAAAAGCCTAGCCCACCTCCACCAGGTCAGACAGTGTTGGAGCCTCCTGCCCATTCCTGCTCTACATAGCTACAGGAAGCAGGACCCTGAATCTCTCTGGTAACCAAGCCTAGGTTCCCCAAGTCCATCAGATGGAGTTACCATCTGTAAGAATGATGTACAAAATAAATTCTTTCTACCTGTTACTCAATAACTAATTTTTTTTCTAATCTTTAAAATACAAAAATGATAGGATTTTCAGGCAGGAGGCCTAAAGACTTAACAAGGATTTTATTTCTTTTAGTAAATAAAAACAAATATATATTGTATATATATACACACATGTGTATATACAGGATATATATGTGTATATATGATATACAATAGACATATATCCTATATATGCACACATACATGTATGTGTATATATATATATATATATATCCTATTTATTTAAGTAACTTAGAATCTATGGGTGTTACTAATTTCAAACATAAGTAGTTATCATTATGTTCTATTTTTTTAAGATCACTTGTGTGTAGAATTATCAGAGGCCAGAAAAAGGGATCAGATCTTCTAGAGCTGAAGCTAGAGGCAATTATAACCCATCCATTTCAGGTGTTGGCAATTGAACCTGGATCCTCTGCAAGAATAGCAAGTGTTCCCAAACCACTGGGCAATCTCTCCAGTCCCTCTTTATGTTTTATCTGTAGCTGGTTGTGAAAGAAAAACTCTAATAGCTAATTTTCAGCTCTGCCTGAAGAGCACATCTATTCTTACACATACACATGCTGCAGAGACTGGAAGCTGAAAATGGGAAGTGCATGGGCAGTAAGGTCAATCTTTCTTTCATTCTGTCAGTCCATCCATCTGTTGTGTAGTCAGCAAATATCACTTGAAAAGTTACATAACAGAGATTCTGCCAGGTACTGGGGATGAAACAGCAAGTGGCACCAACAGGAAACTCTGCCCTGACTCATTTGTACTTTATACTGGTTATATGTCAGCAGGCTTAGAAGACTCTCTCATCCACTTGTCTCTTCTGCTCTAATTCCCGGGCACTTCAGGAGGTTGACTTGGCACAGCCAGAATACTGTTACCATCATCGCTATTCAATTCTTCTTCCCCTACCTCATAGGAGCATGGAAAAGGGCAGTGGGAGGAAAATCTAGGGCATGCCTCCAAGTAAACCTCCTTGTTTCTAGACATCATGCTGTGTGCAACGGGACGATTGACAATAGAACATGCCCTTCATCCACAGACAACTTACTAACCAGTTGTAGAAAAAGGCCTAGACATGTGGCCACCAAAACAGAGTCTGCTTGGAAGAAGATGTGTAGCATACAACTTCCTAGGGGGAGAAATTTCAACACTTGCTGAGAGAAAGAAGGGAAGAGTCAAGAATGTCCTCAGAGAAAAAGTGGCATGCTCAAATGAGAAGTAGGCGTTGTCTGGTTTGATGTTCTTGAAGGGGAAGCATAAATGAGCAAGACTGTCAGTACAGTGGTAGTATCATGTGACTGGAGCTTAGCCAGGCAGTTCTGTTCAGATTGCCATCAGGAAGTGTGTGACGGAAAGAAGGAATCAGAAAAATTGTACCAAAAAATGTCTTTTTATTAGTTGCTTTTCTATTAGTGTAATAAAAAACCATGACCAAGGCAACTCACAGAAGGGAGGATTTGTTTTGGCTGAAAGTTCCAGAGGGAGAAGAGTCTGTCAGTACAGCAACAAGCAGGCATTGCAGCTGGAAAAGAAGGCTGAGAACTTACATTGTAAACTACAAGCAGGAACCAGAGAGAATGAAACCTCAAAGGCTGCCCACGGTGAGGTACTTCTTTCAAGAAGGCCACACCTCCTAAGCCTCCTCCAAGAGCTCCACAACTGGGAACCACGTATTCAAAGGGCAGAGATGATGGGGGGCATTCTCATTCAACCACCACAGTCCTTACACACTCTCAAGGGCGTGAGGCACAGGTTGGAAGGACCATTGAAATGACAGGATATGTAAGAGAGTTTGGGAGTGGGTAGCTACCGAGGCCTGGTGTTTATCACCATGAGAGCAAAAGAGGAGTCCGTGCAGGCTTGCTGTTTGCACTCCTAGAAATGGAGGGCCGCAAGCCGTAGAGACCGAGTAGTCTGAGTGGACTCAGAGACAATGAGTTCAGCTTTAGGAATATTAAAAGGGATCCAGTAACCTAATATCTGCAACCAAATCCAGAATGTAGCATTAGTGGGATTTCAGGGAACAAGTATAGACTCTAGAGAAATGCATTTGCCCCTGAGACCTTCCAAAGAATAAAACTGAATCCAGGTCACAGAACAGAAAGCTTTCTATGGTTAAACTTGCTCTATCATTTATGGCACACCTCCTCAACAGGCGTTGGATAAACTGTAGCATTTTAGATACTCAGAGCCCGGGTCACTGCTGGTGCCTTGTTCCCTTGTGACTAAATAGCAACTAGGACACCCTTACCACCACTTTGCTTCTGTAGAGTTCACTTAATGACATGTGGCATAAGATACTTGTCTTTTGAGCAAATTGAAAAATGGAATACATTTATAAAAGAAATTATCAAATGCTCTGTGCCACAGAGATAAAGATTTCAGGCTTAGCCCATTAATACACTAGGCAAAGGGTCCCTGAGTAGATGCTTTAAAGATCTGAAGTCAGTAGAAGTGTTTCTGGAATCCTCTTTCATAACACTCAGAAGCAGTAGAGAGAACTTAACTTGAAGCTGGGCTGCCTTGGGAGATTCTAACCTCCCAACCACCTGATCTGTTGTCAGTATACTAAAAATAAATCACAGGTGAAACACTTACTGTGAAAACGCTTTCTTTAATCTGCATTGATTGGGGGAGGGGGAGGGATATGGGAGGTGGTGGAGGGGAGGAGGCAGAAATCTTTAATAAATAAATAAAAAAAGAAAAAAATTATATCAACAAATAAAACAGACTTAACCAGAAAAAAAACAAAAAAGAAAAAGAAAACAAAAGAAAACACACACACACACACACACACACATACATATATATATATATATATATATAATTAAATGGACTACAGAAAAGTAGACATTTAATAGGTTGTATAGTAAAGGATACATCGTCGTTTGGTATTCTCTGGATGGTGTGAAGCTGCGCATCTGTGTTCAGGTGTATATGTGTGCTGTATATGTGATGTGTGTGTAGACACACACATGTTTGCAATTCAGTATATGCATGTATGTGTATGTGGAGGGCAGAGGACAACATTCAGTGTCACATTCGGTGTCATGTTCCTCAGGATGACTGTCCACCTTATTTTTTTTTTATTTTTATTTTTTTTTTGGTTTTTCGAGACAGGGTTTCTCTGTGGTTTTGGAGCCTGTCCTGGAACTAGCTCTTGTAGACCAGGCTGGTCTCGAACTCACAGAGATCCGCCTGCCTCTGCCTCCCGAGTGCTGGGATTAAAGGCGTGCGCCGCCACCACCCGGCCTGTCCACCTTATTTTGAGACAAAATTGGTCTAGAGTTTGTCGATTAAGCAAGATGGCTAGCTAGATTCACCTCTCTGCCTCATCCATGTTAAGATTACAAGTGTTTATAACCACTGCTACCTCTGACTTTTCAACAGAGGTCTAGGGACCAAACTGAGGACCCTGTGCTTGCAAAGTAAGCACTTTAGTTGCTTTACCAACTGCTACAACTCTCCAGCTCATATGAGATTCTTTTATGTGGCTTTATATGGTACATATTGTGTTTTCCAATGCTTCCAAGTGAATAATTGAAGATGAACCTCTCTGGGAAGTGGTTCCTTCTGGCTCTTGCCTAGCTCTGCAGCAGGTCTCAAGCAAGATTCTAGCCCTCTCCCAGCAGGTGTTATGGATACGCTCAGAAATCAGGAATTATTGAGGAGTGTTTTGTTTTGGTTCCTAGTCCAGCACCCCCAGAAATGGCTTGAGAGGCAGGCAGTTCTGCAGAATGCACAAAGTCCTTGTTCCTCTCCCTCTCTGTTGGACATGAGCAAAACAGGTTTTTTCAGGAGTGAAACATTGCCGACCATGGCTTCTAAGGTCTGGGTTCGAGTACATGCTTTGCAACACTGTCTGGGTGCCTGTCCCCCCAAAACAGATGGGAAAGCTGGCTTTGGGTGCTGCTGCCTCCCTGAGTAGGAGCTATGAGTGGGGGACCAGTATTCAGGTGAGCCTCTGTGCCCTCTAGTGGTCACTGCTGTTACTTCTTTTGCTGAGAGATTCGGGGAAAGAAACAAGTGTGTACCTACAAGTACAACTCATGTGGGAAATCACTTTGAATGCATTATAAGGTAAGAATAATGCCCTGTTGGCCCCT